GACGAGGGACAAGCAGTCGAGGGGTGGGAATGGGGAGAAATTATATCTTTTGGAAAAAAAGTCCACCGCCCAGCGCCAAGGCAATGCCAGTCAGCGGGAAAGCAATCCGCCCATACCACGACTAACCTAGTGGGACTCCCTTGTGTTTATGTTAACTCACTTCCCTCGGGGCTCTGCGCTTTCGGAACTCACTCAACCCACTTTCCCAATGCCGTGCACAATTATCGTCTGCCCCGATTCGCCCACAACTACGCAGTCAATCCACTTTATTTATAAGAACCTAAGAATTTCCTGGACGAAAGAAGACCAAAGTCCATCCAGTTCACCTTCCCCTATCCTGGCAGCCCCAGGCACATGTCATGTCCCAAGCTGTATCCCAAGGTATTCTGTGAAGCGCTGTGAGCCATCTCAACAACCTGATATGGCGCTGTATCAAAGGCCAGGATTATCCTTAATGAGGCCAATGGTGTTGTTGCAACAAAATAATTAGACATCAAAGCTGATCTAATTGTGGTTGGCTGGTTAGAGGGGTTTAATGGTGAGAGTCCATTTGTCTCGGAGAGTCAGTAAACCATTATAGCATCTGAGCTGCCCCGCGATTCCTCCGTCGCCTGAGCTGTGAATAGCAATTTCACCCTTGAAGGTGGTAGAGAGATATATCTTCTCTTAAAACGCTTTTGCTCGCCTTGCATTTATTTATTTATTTATTTATTTATTTATTAAAAAACTTTCAATTTTTGCAGGGTTCGTCTGTAAATTCAGTCACTACACTGCGAAAATCCTGTGAAGCGCTTTTGAGATGTCTCGACGACTGCAAGGATTATTGTAGTTTAAGACTCGAATAACGCGTCATTTTTTGGGATTCTTTTCGCACAATGCCCTGTCGTAATTAGGTACCTATGTATTATGACATTTACACTAACGGCAGCAGATCATGGGAAGCCATCAAATAATGGGAAGCTAAATGTGTTACATGAACTATATCAAATCTATATGCACTGTGTGAAATAACAGGTGGTTGGGATGGATTACCAAGTGTTATTTAGTCCCCGCTGCTTTTGCACTCCAATGCATATGAGTGGCACAGCTTAAAAATAACTTGAAGCCACTTGCAAAGGCACTTTACCACATGTAGGAAAGCTCAATACAAATTTGTTTCTGCCTGGTATGTCCCCCGCTGTGAATGTATTGTACTCCTAGGGATTAAATTAAATGTTTCGCCCACAAACTACACAGTCACTTCACTTTACCGTATATTCTGTGAAGAGCTTTGAGACCGTCTCGCAGACGTGATAAGGCGCTATATCAAATGTAAGGACTATTATTAAAGACCTTAAAGATACCGTGGGGTTTTCCACCCCGGTGTCCTGGCCAACAATTCCGCAGATAAAATCGGTCATTCACTTCATGGCTGTTTGTGGGTCGTTGCTGTGCCCAAATTGGTTTGCCTACAAAATACACAGTCACTACACTACAGACATCCTCCTTGATTCAAAAGGCATCAAATGCAAGATTTACGATGATTATTTTTAACAACAACAACTTGGATGTATATAGCGCCCTCCACACCGGACGCTTCACAGTAACGGATCCCGGGGCCGAGCCCGGGGGGAGGTGGGGGAAGGTGACCAAAGGCGCGGTCGAAAAGAAATGTCTTTCAGCAGAGAACTGAAAATAGGAAGGGAGGGGCGAGGCGAAGGGAGTGAGGAAGTTCCAGAGCCTCGGGGCGTAGTGGCTGAAGGCACGGCCGCCGAGGGTGGAGCGGAGGACTCGGGGCACGAGGAGGAGGCCAGACCCGGAGGAACGAAGGCAACGGGTACCGTTTTGAGGAGAGAGGAGGTCAGAGAGGTCGGGGGGTGCAGAGGAGTGCAGGGACTTGAATACGAGGGTGAGGGTCTTGAACTCGATCCTCTCTCGGACAGGCAGTCAGTGCAGTCTGGCCAGGACTGGGGGGGGGGGGGTCGGGGAGCGGAGTTTGGTGCGGGTGAGAATGCGGGCGGCATTTTATTATTATTATTATTATTATTATTGTTATTAATAATGCAGGCAAAGTGACACTTTATTGTGTCTTTTAAGATTGAAGTCCTGCAACAAAATGATTGTGTAAAACCGTACAATTTGTTCTTCAAAAAATTACTCAGACCTCCGATTAGTAACCGGTGGGGTGTATCGATATTTTTTGTCATTCCTAACGAATTCTATGATGCAGGAATTATTTCCACTCCTCGCCATCACCTGAAAAACGTTAAACAGATTAATGTCCTTTCCATTCCCCCGGGGGCAACATTTGCACTCACAGAACTGATCTCACCTGTTACTGATGAAATGTTGCGTCGAGGAACGCACAGGAACAACAACAACACCAACAATAATTTACATTTCGATAGCGCCTTTCACGTCAAGAGGACGCCTCGAATACGTTCAGGCACACCTTGACGGCGAGAAGACGGCCGAAAGCGCGGGCAGACAGGTAGGCGCTAAGGCGGGTTGCGGAAAGGGGAGGAAGGGGGTGAGGTGGGAGGATTCCGCGACTGAATTCCAAGAACGGGGGCGCAGTGGCTGAAACCCCTCTCATTAACAGAGGCAGAGAGAACTCGGAGACACGAAGGAGACCGGCGTTAAACTACCATACCCCGTCCCTAACCCTCCGACTTGGTTACTCGCCGCGCATCACAACATCGGCGCTGCAGGCTCCAGCCTCCTGCTTGACCCTCGTCCCCCCACCCCCTTCGTTCCACCATTGGCAGCCCACTACGTCCTGAAACTTTGGGACTCTATCCCTCCGCCTCGTTCCCTCCTTCCCCGTTTTCGTGTCGCGCCTCAAGACCTTTCCCTTCGACCGTGCTTACGGTCAACTCCTCCGTTACCCCCTCCCCCACCCCCCACCCACTCCTCCACCCCGTCCCCACCTCGGTGTCAGGCTCCGCCACTGTTAAGCGCCCCGAACTTGCAAACTTTGGAGGCAGTGAGTGCTGTAAAGTGGACTGATTTGTGAGGAGGGGGGGGAGAGAGGGAGAGAGAGAGAGAGGTGGGGTGGGTGTGTGTGTGTGGGGGGGGGAAGAGGGAAATACCAATGTTAAAAGGCAGCTGCTTATTTCAGAGCCAGAATTTGGGCTGAGTGTTCACTCCCCTCCCCTTCCCTCCCCCATTCGTAAACAGCGCTTAGATTGCGCAATGTGCTTTGTACAAATCGCAAAGCCTTTTTGCGTGGGTGGGTTTGTGCGTATAATAGTGGGGTATCCGGTATGTTTTTCGATTAAAAAAAAACCCATCTACCGACCAGCAAACGGGGGATATTAATAGCTTTTTAACTGTAATTTTGCAAAGACGGTTATATCAGCAACAGCTACTAAATGACCTTTTTTTTTACAGTGTGTGTTATTTTTTTTTTTGTCATTTACGCATCAAAAAGTTGAACAGGTTTTGTTCGGGCGCTGACCCCCCTCTCTCTCTCTCTCCCCCCCCCGGGGAGATTTCGAACACACTTTTATGTCTCAGACACAAAAAAAAACACACACACACAGAGAGAGAGAAGAGGTTTAAGTGTTGAAAAAAGAGGGAGAGAGAGAGAGAGAAGGTGAAATGGACAGAGAGTGATGAACTTTTACACTCCTTGGGGGTGAGGAACATATATTTGTTCCCTGACCAATTAATATCTAAATAATAACGCCTTCTTCTAAGTTAAATATATATTATATTTATATATTATATATATATAGATACACACACACACTCGCTCTACCAGTTTAGAACTAGTTACTAATCAGAGGCAATGTCCTGGAGTCATTTCTAAAGAACAACTTGTACAGTTTTACGTTTTACTTGGACTTCCATCTTAAAAGACACAATAATAAATCCTCCCTTTGCCTGAACCCCATTATTATTAATAATACATATAGATACATATACACACGTTGCAATACGACTTCTCTCCGCTTCACACAGATCATTGGGTTTAATAAAAATATGAATAAACCTCGCCCTTGATGCGTGATCTCCGAGACGTCTCAAAGCGCTTCACGGAATATCACTGTAAAGTGGATTTGAGTGTGGATTTTGTGAGCCAAACATTGCGCACAGCAGCGTCCCACATCCAGTGGTGGGTTATTACCCCAGAAAAGCGATCGACCAACATTATATACCCACAGACAGACACACATAGACAGACACAGACAGACAGACAGACACACAGACAGACACACAGACACACAGACAGACACACACAGACATTTAGTGGGTTTAAAATGCTTCAAATACAGAAGTGAAAGGGCTTTGCCACTTGTAAATCACATCAAAGCCAATAGAACACATCCAGAGCGAGGATTTACCAATCCCCCCCCACCCACATACACCCACCCCCCCCCCCACATACACCACCCCCCACCCCCCCACATACACCACACACCCACCCCCCACCCCCACCCACACCCCCCCCCACCCCCACACACCCCCACATACACCCACCCCCCCCCCCCACATACACCCACCCCCACCCCCCCACATACACCCACCCCCCCACCCCCACCCCCCCACCCCCCCCCCCCACATACACCCCCCCCCCCCCCACCCCCCCCACATACACCCACCCCCACCCACACCCCCACACACCCCCCCCCCACACACACCCCTCCACCCCCCACACACCCCTGTCCCTCTCCCCCCACCACCCCTCCTTCTCCTCTCCCGACAAGAAGCGCTGCGCGCAACAGGCGAACGGTCGGTCGATGGATGGATGGATGGGATCGATCGATCCATCGAGACCCCGTCCACCCATCCACCCATCCATCGATCCCACGTATCGATCCCACGTATCGATCCTCCCTTTCCTCTATGTGTGTGTGTGTGTGTGAGAGAGTGTGTGTGTGCGCCCCAAACAAAAACCCGGATCCCCCCCAAAAACATAAATAAATCCCCCACCCACCCCGGGGGGAGGGAGGGTTGGGGTGTGAGGGTTGGGGTGTGAGGGTTGGGGGGTGTGGGGGTTGGGGGGGGGTCCGTACCTTCCACCCGGCAGAGCTGTTGCTGTCCCCTTTATCCTTGAAGTAGGGGATGTAGCGGACCATCCAGTCGTATATCTGGGACAGGGTGAGGCGGTGGTCTGAAGAGCTCTCGATGGCTTTGGTGATCAGATCGGCGTAGGACAGGTTACCCCACGCGTTCCTGCGGGAGGACTTCTTGCGGTGTTGGCTGTTGGCCTCACTCAGACCCAGGAGGGGCCCCGGGGTACCCGCCATCGCCCTACTCACTCCTCCTCCATCACCTCCATCACCTCCTCCTCCTCCTCCATCACCTCCTCCTCCTCTCCCGGCGGCGTTGCTGCGGTCGCCATCCTCGCCCCCCAGGACCGCGGCGGCGGGTGGGTTTCTCGAGGTGCCCTCTCCCTCTCCCTCTCCGCCCTCTCCCTCTCCCTCTCCCTCTCCTGCCCCCTCCCCTCCGGGCACCTCCGGGCGAGGCAGCGGCCAAGTGCACGATCGGGGTCGGCTCTGCGGCTCGAAATCCGGGTCGATGTCCACCGCACCACCGGGAGCCACTTCTTCCTCCATTGCTCTGGACGCTGTTCGGAGGGGCACTGACCGACACCGACACCGACACCGACCGACACTGACCCCCTCTCCTCTCTCTGTGTCTCTCTCTCTCTCTGTGTCTCTCTCTCTCTGTCTGTCTCTCTCTCTCTCTCCTTATTCTAACCTATAAAGCAGAGACGAAACTCGATAGGAGGAGAGACAGACACAGGGGGAGAGAGAGAGGGAGGGAGGGATGGGAAGGAGGGGAGGGAGGGAGGGAGGGATGGGAAGGAGGGGAGGGAGAGGGGAGGGGGAGGGGGGCAATGAAGAGAGAGGAATAAGGAGTTGGATGACAGGTTGGGCTTCAGATCAGCGTTAAACATGAACCGGTTTCCCTGTGCTTTTGTGGAGCAGGTGATGAGCAGAGTCCCATAAGGATGGATCGATTGAGGGAGGGCTGTCTCTCTCTCTCTCTCTCTCTCTCTTCCTCTATCTATCTATCTCCCTATCTATCTGCCCCCGTCTCTCTCTCTGTCTGCCCTGAACTCTGCTCTCTCTCTCTCTCTCTCTGCTCCACTCTATTTGCTGGCTCTCTGCTCCCTCTCTCTGCTCCACTCTATTTGCTGGCTCTCTGCTCTCTCTCTCTCTCTGCTCTCTCTCTCTCTGCTCCACTCTATTTGCTGGCTCTCTGCTCTCTCTCTCTCTCTCTGTGTTCTGAGCTGGTTTTACACTCTCTTCAACTGGTCTCTCTCTCTCTTCTGTGTCTCTCTCTCTCTCTCTGCTTTGCCCTTTGCTGTGGCTCTCCTCTTACCCGCGCTCTCTATTCTGAGCTCTGTGTGTGTGTGTGTGCTCTGCAATAGGCTCTCTCTCTCTCTCTCTCTGCCCTTTGCTCTCTCTCTCTCTCTGTGTGGGTTGGCTTTCCTTTGGGCTCTCTCTCTCTCTCTCAGTGTTCTGCTCTGTCTCTCTCTCTCTCTCTCTCTCTCAGTGCTCTACTCTGTCTCTCTCTGTGCTCTGCTCTGGGCTGTCTCTTCCCCTCCCTCACTCTCAATGCTCTGCTCTGTCGCTCCCTCTCTCAATGCTCTCGGCTCTCTCTCTCCCCCTCTCTCTCTGTCTCTCCCCCTCTCTCAGTGCTCTCTCTGTCTCTCCCCCTCTCTCTCAGTGCTCTCTCTGTCTCTCCCCCTCTCTCTCAGTGCTCTGCTTTGGGCTGTCTCTCTCTCTCTCTCACTCTGTCTCTCAGTTCTCTGGGCTCTCAGTGCTCAGAGCTGTCTCTGTCTCAGGGCTCTCTGTGTCTGGGCTGTCTCTTTCTCGGTGTCTGGGCTGTCTCTTTCTCGGTGTCTGGGCTGTCTCTGTCTCGGTGTCTGTGTCTCGGTTTCTGGGCTGTCTCTGTCTGTGTGTCAGTGTCTCTGTGTCAGTGTCTGTGTCAGTGTCTCGGTGTCTGTATCTCGGTGTCTGTGTCTCGGTGTCTGTGTCAGTGTCTTGGTGTCGGTGTCAGTGTCTCGGTGTCTGTGTCTCGGTGTCTGTCAGTGTCTCGGTGTCGGTGTCTGTATCTCGGTGTCAGTGTCTGTGTGTCTGTGTCTCGGTGTCTGTGTCTCTGTGTCAGTGTCTCTGTGTCTCGGTGTCTGGGTGTCTCGGTGTCTGTGTCAGTGTGTCTGTGTCTTGGTGTCTGTGTCTCGGTATCTGTGTCTGTGTCTCTGTGTCTGTGTCAGTATCTCTGTGTCTCGGTGTCTGGGTGTCTCGGTGTCTGTGTCTCGGTGTTTGTGTCTCTGTGTCTCGGTGTCAGTGTCTCTGTGTCTGTGTCAGTGTCTGTGTGTCAGTGTCTCGGTGTCTGTGTGTCCCGGTGTCAGTGTCTGGGTGTCTCGGTGTCTGTGTCAGTGTCTTGGTGTCTGTGTCTCGGTCTCTGTGTCAGTGTCTCTGTGTCTGGGTGTCTGTGTCAGTCAGTGTCTGGGTGTCTGTGTCAGTGTCTGGGTGTCTGTGTCTCGGTGTCAGTGTGTCTCGGGGTCTGTGTCTGTGTCTCGGTGTCTGTGTCTCGGTGTCTGTGTCTCGGTGTCCGTGTCTCGGGGTCTGTGTCAGTGTCTGTGTCTCGGTGTCTGTGTCAGTGTCTGGGTGTCTGTGTCTCGGTCTCCGTGTCAGTGTCTGTGTCTGGGTGTCAGTGTCTGTGTCTCGGTGTCAGTGTCCGTGTCTCGGTGTCTGTGTCTGGGTGTCAGTGTCTCGGTGTCTGTGTCTTGGTCTCTGTGTCAGTGTCTGTGTCAGTGTCTGGGTGTCTGTGTCTCGGTCTCTGTGTCAGTGTCTCGGTGTCTGTGTCTCGGTGTCTGGGTGTCTGTGTCTCGGTGTCAGTGTCTCGGTGTCTGTGTCTCGGTCTCTGTGTCAGTGTCTGTGTCTCGGTGTCTGTGTCTCGGTATCAGTGTCTGTGTCTCTGTGTCAGTGTGTCAGTGTCTGTGTCTCGGTGTCTGGGTGTCTGTGTCTGGGTGTCTGTGTCTCGGTCTCTGTGTCTGTGTCTCGGTGTCTGTGTCTCGGTATCAGTGTCTGTGTCTCTGTGTCAGTGTGTCAGTGTCTGTGTCTCGGTGTCTGGGTGTCTGGGTGTCTGTGTCTCGGTCTCTGTGTCAGTGTCTGTGTCTCGGTGTCTGGGCGCCGTTACCATGTGGTTCCCACTGACAGTGGGGACGGTTACAGTATCCGCGGGAGCGGCTGCTGATTGGTCGGTGGCCGACAGCCGCGTTCCAGTGGGCGGAGCCGGGCCTCCTGATTGGTCAACACCCACCCGGGTGGGCGGGGCCTTGGGAATCCCCTGCACCGACGTCACTGAGACCTGCCACTCACTCCAGGACTGAGCCCTCCACCTGATGGGAGTCTGAGTTACACTGAATAACAACAACAACAACAGCAGCAGCAATAATAATAACAACAACAACAACAACAACAACATTCCTGACATCTGTTACGGCGCCCGATCCCGTCTTCGAGACGTCTCGAAGCTCTTCGCGGGTCACACTGTAAAGTGGATGCACTGCGTATATTTTGCGAGCGAAACGCGGATCGGGCGACCAAATTATTATTTATTTTTCAAGGACTTATTACCCCCCCCCTCAACCCCGCGCCCCCCTCCCCCCCCACCCACCCCACCCCCGCCGCCCCCCACCGCCCGCACCCGGGAAAAGCGATCCGACGATCGATGAGCAGCCGGGTTCCTGCTTGCTGCCGGTTAGGCGGAGGCGCGTGGAGCGAGGGAACCTTTGCCCAATGTTGTGCCCCGCCCGCCCGGGAATCGGACCCAGGACCTCTCGCTGGCCAGGCGAGTGCTCTGACCACTGAGCTGCAGGACTCCCTTGTAAACCCGGGCTTTTAAATTGTGTTCGTAAAACACACAGAATCTGCCATCATCATAACCATATGCAGTCCCGTGCTTACGATTCTCTCTTATTTATGTTTATAGATATATATATATACACATACGTGTAGCTATAACTTATTTATTTATATATGTGTGTATTTATAAATGTATAGCTGCTTTCGTCAAAAGTTTTCGAACCATCAAAGACACTGAAAAGTACACCAAAAGGGCATTCAGGATCATATTCTCGGTGAATCGTTTCCTTTTGGTTGCAATCTGGAAGTTACAATTCGTGCGGTGAACAAATTTATAAGGGCCTCTCATCGACTCACATTTGTAACCGTTTTCCTATACCTTTCATTTGGAAACGTACGGTAGAAAATATACAGTGGAGTCCTGTAGCTCGGCGGTTAGAGCACTCGCCTCGCAAGCGAGAGGGTTGGGTTTGATTCCCGGCAGGTCAGGGCGAAACCTTGGCCAAGGTTCCTTACTTCCGCACGCCTGATAATAATCCCTCAAGAAAAAAAATAATAATAATAATTTGGTCACTCAATCCACGACTGTTTGTGGGGACGCGGCCGCGTTTTGCCCACAGAATATGCGGTCAAATCACGTTACGGTCTATTCCGCGAAGCGCTTTGAGAGCTCTCGAAGAGGTGAAAAGCGCTATACTCAAATGCAAGGATTATTATTATTATATAGCAATAAAGTATACGTTGCTGGGAAACATTGCAATGTGCAACAATAATCGATACCTGGATTGTCCATTTTGATGTTTTCACAACAAAGTGGGTTGCAAGAGAACGCAGCTTCCTTACTTACACGTTTAGCTACTTAGTTTAACTTCACTTAGTAAAGAGGAAATATTGTACACTTTGGATTTTGTTTGATGGAACTATTGGTTTTGCACGTTCAGGTTTAGTAATTCGGAGTATCAGTAAAATGTGAGCATTAAGTTAGTCTGGAACTCCATCCCACCGGGTCCCTTCGCCTCGCTTCCTCCCTCGCCTCCTTCAAGCTCGGTCTCAAGACCTTTCTCTCCGACCGAGCCTTTGGTCTCCCTCCCACCTCTCTGCCTTCCCTCACCCCTACAACCCCCNTCCGCCTCCCCACTGCTCGGGCCCCGACACCTGACCGTTCAGTGCTTTGGGACGTCCTCCCGACGCGAAAGGCGCTCTATAAGTGTAATTTTGTTGTTCTTGTAGTCTGCAAATCCCACCATGTGTTCGGTTAAATCTCTGTGGCTAAACGTGTCAGCCATAAACATTGTGGTTTCATACTATATTCACAGTAATACTCCATAAACATACCTTGTGCCACTCAATCCATGACTGTTTGAGAAATTCCTTCGGTCGTTTTCTTTTCCTCGAATTTTTGTTAAAGTCCACTTACGTTTAGTTATTAACGCTCTTCATCCAGTGAATATTCTATGTTCTAAACCTGGGTCAACTTCAACAAACACCACACATCTCACTGCAAGGCATGAACAGTTTATTTCTGACCATCAAGGATATAGAGAGTCCCGGCAGCCATGACTGCTACACAAGCTGGCAAACGATGGAATAAAAGTACGTATATTAAACAGTATTACGTGGGAATACTTTAAAAGGTAAATAGCGGGAAGCGTGTGTAAGGGTGTAATCCTAACCTTGGAGTTCAACCAATATTGTATTTACATTTAAGTTTGATTCACAAAAAGAGAAGGGATTTGCTTCCTGCCTTCTGGCCAACAACGCTCCCAAATGAAAATGAAAATGTGGTCATCCACTTCAGGGCTGTTTGTGGGT